GGAAAGCTTTTATTCAGCTTACACTTCTATATCATAGTTGATCACTGAAGGAAGTCAAAGCAGGAACGCAAACAGGGAAGGAACTTGAAGACAGGAACTGATGCAGGGCACAAGGAGAAGTGCTAATCACTGGCTTATTCCTTATAGCTTCTTAGCCTGTTTTATTAGAGAACCCAAGACTGCCAGCCCAGCAGTGTGCCAATGCACAATGGACTCTCAGTCACCAGTTAAGAAGATGCTACATGTTTGCCTGCAACCCTATCTTAATGGAGGCATTTTTTCAACCAAAGTTGACTGTATAAGATGACAAATTAAGACTATAGCTTATGTCAAGATGACATAAAATGAACCAGCACACTACTCATAGCTATAAATGTTTTAGAACATCCTTTTTAGTGTTCCAAAAGTTCCTGAAAGTTGCATTTTCATTTGAATTTGATCTAGATGTTTAAAAAGTTCCTGCTTGAGTTTTTCAGTGACCCAGGAGTCATTTTAGAATGCATTACTGACAACACTCTCTTATAAAGAATTTTAAAATACAGCTTCTCTTTTTTATATAATTTTTTTAATTTAATTTTATGTAATGAAAACAAACATTTATACACAATATTTGGGAATTTGGGCGTCGTTCTTTCCAAACTACTTCCTGCTGGTAAGGGGCGCTGTCTTGGGGGATTCGAAGAAGATTCAGATATCCTAGCTGTAGTTACAGCTTCTCTTTTAAGCAAACTAACCCCCATAAAGATAAAGAAAATAAAGATAAAAAGTCAGATGAGATGTAAATGATTTTACATTTCAGATTGTTTAATATTCTTCCTCATGTAATATTTGTAATGAAGGTACCTTGTATCTTACTTAGCATATTAATTCACAGACTTTTCCCCCAGGAAGGGATATTTGACTGAAGGAAGTTATATTTTTATAATTGTAACCACTGTAGATAATTTCCAATTGCAATCTGTCTACTTCATCAACTCTAATTTATGCTTTTGCTATGAGACACCTTTCTACAGAAGTGAATGTTAGTTAGGATTCTGTATCTCCATGGTCTGATGAGGCAGAGTTCTGTTGACTGTTAGTCATTGCCATTTTGCTGACTGGTGTGCTTCTGAAATTGCTGAAAAGAGTTATGGGATATTGAAGCTGATGGCTCAATGAAGTAGTAGCCTTTCCCATGATGAGGCCTGTAAGATAAGCAACAAGACTGAAGTTCCCAACAGGAAAAAACACTGTGGGAATTTCTGAGAAATGACTAATCTTTTTAGTTATATTTGCTTTATTAATCAACTAAATGATCATGTTAGTTACATTAGCAGTCATTTATCTTCTGCAGAATACTGAGTGACATGGGTTCTGTTCATACAGTTTCTAACTCAGTTTAGGAACTGGTCTATGTGGCTGGGGAATGTTTACTCAGAACAACAGCTGTAGATCCTCAATGACAGCATTCTCTCCCTATTTTGACATACAGGTGGATAAGTGGGGGCAGAGGAATGGAGTGGAAACATGTCTTCCATGTCATAAGAGTGATTTTTTTCACACCATGTGATCAAACTTGCAGATGGATCAGAGAAACCTGAGGTATTCTGAGTATTTGCCTAAGATAATTCTCCATCACTCCCAAACAAATAAAAAAAAAAACTTGCTAGAATGTATGTATGTTTAAGGAGAGAGCTAACTATTCTAATAGCCATGCCATAGTTCTGAAAATTTTATTTTCACTAACCTCTCTAGAAGAAACCATAGATTCTTGATGGCCATGTGGGAAAGAGTGGGAAAGCAGTTATTGATGAATATGAGACTAAAAAGTAAAAATTAAAGAGGCCGAGGATGTGTAAATTGGGAGACGATTATATTCCCTTGGGCATCAAGGTTAATGGTAAATGGAGGAATGACAAGAGTCAGGTTTAGGGGTGAAACAACAGCTCACATGTGGATATGCTGCACTATGGTGTCAAGCTTTCCACAATTCTAAACTGATAAAGTATCTTCTGAGCCAAGGAAGGAGAGGGGCCTTTAGTTTTGAAAGAGTTGAATAAGAGAAGAGCAAGCTGAACAGCAATAGGGAGTTAGTCAATGTATTGTGAGATGCCCTGACCACACAAGAATCGCTATCAAGACAGAAGGTGGCAAAGGGACATGTGCAGATGAAGATATCTGGTAACCCTCTTCTCCATCATGGTTCAGTTAAAACTAAGTAACTCCTTAGATTTAACTAGCAATAGACAGTAATTAGGCAAGAAACAAAAACAGTTAACTGATTTTGACATAAAAATGATCATGTTTACCTAGGAGTTGATGAATATTGCCTATAATAATGTATAATAGATAGAGGATAAATAACAGAAATTATCAGCAATACTTTTATAAAAATATAAATTACTTGCATATACATATTGTATGTGTGCACACACTGTACATTATTACTACTGGAAATTTTGACAAACTTTTGTATCTTCAGTAACTCTTACTGTATCATTTGTCTTAAGCAGGTGGTATTAGCTTGCTGATTAATAGTCAATATTTTAAGCACAAAAGTATAAATGAGTTGTTAAAAAGCTTTGGTGGACATAACAAAATTTTTTATGTCTGGAAAATGAAATAATAATTCTGTCCTTAAGAAAATCACTGGGAGTGTAGCATGAATAGCACAACAAACCTGATAGCCTTGTCTCTTATAAATGTGTAACATTGGTAGCAAAACTTAGCCTATTCATTCATTGTCTATGCATGTAAACATTATTTGTAAAACTGTGTGTCTTTTTGAAATAGAAAATAATAAAACACTGATGAAAACAATTGAAATTGATGGTTTCTGTTAATTTTGCTCTAACAAGTACTGAATGAACTACAAGTGTGGTTTAAAGAAAGAAATAAGGAAAACAGCAAACTTTGAAACCCCGTGCTTCTTCATATGCAAACTAAATAAAATAGCAGAGCAGCATGAGTTCTGCCTTTTGACTTTCTAAGCTCTATATGAAATCTAATTTAGATTTGGGAAGAAATTACATCATCAGCATAGCAGGCTTTGTGCTTACAGCGCTGATGGGCTGATGGGAAATGAAGAGCTTTTCAGTGAGGTGTAAAGAAAAGACTCTTGGGGGGGGGCAAGATAAAAGAGGGAAAGAACGTTGATTTGGGTTTTGTGGGTTTGGAGTGTAAGGAAAGTATTCCCATTGTATTGATGAAGTAGAGGGGCATTCCTAAGTCTTCTGCAGAACCTTTTCTAAGCCACTGCCATCTCACTTTGCTTTGTGGAAGTGGGTTTAGATTTTTGAAAAAGTTTTGAGATTGCAGTCACTAAAAAAATCTGTAAAAATAGTAGTGCTAGTATTACAAAGCCAGAAAATTCTTTCCTGATGTTTTCTAAGCTATAGGACTAGAAACATGTGTGCCATCCACACATTATTTAAGCTTTCCTGAGGAAACTTTTCAAAAACCCATTGACCATTTTAAAAGGAATGCTGAAATTAATCATTACCTTTGATGGTAGTACATAATAATTAGATGTTTTTACTTCACAAGTAAACAATAATGGATGAACTGATATTCTGAAGAGGTGAAAGGGGTGGGGAACAGGCTGATGTGAGTAGCTTGATCGCTACCCAGGGCCATGGTGATGTTCGGACCTGGGCTGATGCAACAGCCCCCCCCCCCCCCGCAAACATACACACTGGCTAAAACTCTAGGGTAAACTGGTCCTGTGTCTCACCTGCTGAAGCACTCAGGAGAGAGGCTCCTACACCTCACCTGGACAGCACAGTAGAGCTGACCTGGAGCATGGGCAAGCTGGCCTTGAGGGAGTGAAAGTGGGAAAGCAGATCGTGCCTGCCGTGTGGTGAAGGAAAGATGCCTTTCCTTGCCCCTTGCTACCAGAAGCAGGTGAGGAACCTAACACAATCCCTCATCAGCTGCAGCACTTGAGAGAAAGGCCCTGGGACTCCCTTGGCACCACAATAGAGTTGACTGTATGAGTGTGATCCAACCCAGGGGGCATGAGAGGGGCATAGCTGGTACTGCTTCCCTGTATAGGGTATGGTTGGGAAGGGTATGGTGAATTATCTTAGTAATTATTACTTATATACAACTTATATTGTTACAGATTCTGATATGTTGTAACTTATGTAAAATTAAGTTGTATTCCTTTCTCGGATAATTTGTATATTTTATTTTGTCATATTGTGTAAGATCTTTCTGTTTATGATGTTTTGTGCATAATATCTATATCATATCTTTTGATACATAACTTTTAAATACGATCAAGACATTTTGTATATTGATATGATTTAGGATATTTTTTTATCATGTTGCACTATACAGTTCTACCTCTGGTCAAGACATTTCTGTTGCAGAGATTTACATGTTTATGTATATACATGTGGATATGCATATGTATATATGTGTGTGTACACACACACACACACATACATACATACATGCATATATATATATATATATATATATATTGCTAAAATCATTGTCCTTGCTAAATTATTTAGGGGAGTTTCAATCATTTGTTTAGCTATGTTCCTGAGTATTACAGATTATCTTCACCCATGTTTCTTATACCTATGAGATTAGTCAGACAAGATGTTAGATCTTCAAACACTTCATAGACCTGCAGAACATGGCCTTAAAATGTTTTAATATTAGTTCTCTGTTGGCATGAGACATTACTGCTTGTGACAGCATCAAACTATTCCCAAGAATATGTTGGACACTGATTTCATTCCTTCTGGAGTCCATCCTCTCCTCAGCTAATGGCCTCTTGGGCAAAGAACTGACTGTCCTACTGTGCTTTCAGGAGACAAACATAGAAGACTGCTGAATCTTGCCAAGTCAGGGTAAGAGCCTTTCTACCTCCCTGCTTCTGTAGTGATCTGTCAGGTACTCTTGGCCTTAGCCAAAACTGGCTGCCCCAATGTTACTGTGAGACTTTGGGTGACTGTCCAGGTAGCCTGCTGTTTCTGTCTTCGCTTCACCTTTTGGAAGCTGCTCACCTATACTTCCACTCGGATAAGATGCAGAGGAAGAGCCAAACCATTGCTTTCAGAGGGATGCTCATGGTGAGGGAAGAATTTTACAACTTCTGTCATGTATTGTAACTTCTTGTAAATGGCCATGGCACGGACATGGGTGCCAGGTGGAGGTGTGCAGTTGACCCACAGCTGTACAGGGCATGTTTTTGCCAGCTGGCAGGATAGCTTATTGAGGGAAGGCGAATACGTGCAAGTGGCAATCCCTGAGTTCAGGAAGCCCAGATGGAAACCATAGTCACCCTGGTAGATTTTATAGCACGTGACAGAAGATGAAAGGGGACAGAGAGTGGCTGGCGCTGGGGCCACTGGTGCAGGAGTCTCAGTTACCCGGTCCTCTGCTGGAGCCGCTGCTGCTGTGGCGGCTGCCTTTTGGAGCATTTCACCTGGGTATTCTAACCAGCCTGCAACATTCTCAAACAGGGACAGTTCTTTAATGGAATCAGATGACGGCAAGGTGGACAGAACATTGTTTGGAGATAGTAGTTTCCACAGGTCTGAAAATGCCTCCTGACTCAGTGGGAGCTCAATGCTGAGATCTGATTGTGGCTCCTCCCTGGCAGCACCCAAGAAGTCAGCCAGGTTTCAGGTCTTCAGGGGAGCGTGTTACCATGCAGGGAAGTAGGTTCTGGACCCAGATGCCAGGTGCACCCTGATTCCAATAGCTACCTCCAACTAGGATGGTAGACGCCAGCTCCTTGATTTCAATTTTAATGCCTAAATAATGCAAATTACCAATCAATAATCTTCTGCTTGCTGAGTTATTCTTCTGCTCAAAAGACTAAAATCTTTAGAATTATACCTGATCCCAATGAATCTTTTCTATTTATGATTACAAATCATTTATAATAAACAAGAAGAACTCTCAGATACCCCAGAAAGTTGCTCTTCCAAACATTTCAGATACATGTGTCCTCAAAATGAATAAACATTTATATGTACAAATGAAGTAAAGACTTAAATGACTTTATTATATTAATTACTAAGTCATGGGAGTGTATTCACCCCTTTATATTTCTTAAATACTTTAGATTTGAAAAGAACATTGGTTATATAGATACATTGTGAAAAGGCAAGTTGTACTTAGAGTAAATTTAAATCTTTAGGAAAACTCACTAGGGATGGGATCTGGCTTATAGGACAGTCTTACCCAGGGTAAACAGACAAGGTAGCCAGTAATAAAAAAATTAGTTCTTCATACCAGAGGTAGAATGGTAAGAATTAGAAAATGCAGAATATTGCAGACTGAAAATCAACAGAGCATCAGGACAGGTACTCACGTTGCTGCTCACTCATGACCTACCATTTGTCTCTGTGCCCATGCCTTGTCTGACTACATTCTCCCCATTTGAATTAACATTTATGGAGAGAGTATATGATTAAATATTTGAAACTGAGCTCTTTTCCCCAAATCCGTATTTAACACTCAGATGCATGAATTTCCCCCTCTCCCTCTTTATTAAAAATCCTTATTTGAATATTACATAAGTTTTAATAATATTAAGTCAGTTATAAAGAGGTTGCACATAGAGATAAGTGAGTAGAAAATATATTGACACCAATAAAATTTTGTTTGAACACATATCTATGCCTATGTGAATTTGATCAAGACTGTTGTGTAGTATTTCTTCATAGGCTGTACCTTCAAGTACAATTCTTTTTGTTACTAAGACTATGCATTTAATGTAATTTCAGCCTGTTCCCACATAGTTATTCTTAGCTATGGGAGAGAAGGGAAGGTATGCCCATTTGTGATTGTGTTTTTGTATGTGTGGTAACTGTGCCTGTGTGGATAAACATTTTCTTCCTTTCAAGTTATTGGTTCAATTCGTCTTCAGAATTCTCTATGGTCCTCAAATCCTATTTTCTCTCTACTTTTGAATCTCTCTCTTTCAGTGGGTGTTTATTAGATGTAAGGGTACCCCATGGGTTAGAAATAACCAAATTCAACTTCATTCCTTATAAGGAAAATAAAACCCTAGATGTTTGTATTCACGGATATACTTCTAAGTAGAACAGCTTGATGCCCTTGAGGTTTTAATCTATCATGGTGTGACGTTTCTTTCTTTCTCACACATCTATACTTCAGCTCCAATTGACTTCCTGTACAGACAGAAATATATATATATATATATATATATATATATATATATATATATAGTCTTGATACAAAGATAATTATTTCACTGAAAATTACTTTCACTCATTTTTGTGTGTAAAAATTAGTCTTTCTAGCTTCAAGAAACCAGAAACTGCAATACATTTGATTAACAAACATACAAAATATTCTTCATTGGATTTAAATAGCAGGCACTGTGCATTAGAGAACACAACTAAATGGACATTGATTACCCATAAATGGTGGGGGAGGGAGAACAGCATGCAATCCTGTTTGCCCTTTCATGGAGTTCTACTTCTCACAGGGCTCAGGCTTTCTACAGAGCTAAAAGGTCCACACAATTTCTAAGACCTTCAACACAAAAGGACAAAGTGGAGGCAGTTAGCTCCCTGTAGACCAGAGAAAGCTCAATCAAGCCCCAAAATACTAATCACCACTGCTTTGACAATCACAATTTCTGAAATGGAAAGCATGGCTGAGTTCCACTGCAAATTACAGAGTAATGCTACCAGACATTGGCAGATGTTGGACAGTATGTTGTTAGCATGCAGCCCATTCACTGAATGAAATACTCTGAAGTTTCATATGGTCTAAAGAATCTTCTTGCCTTTCTTCTGATGTAATATCACCAGAATCCTTTGTACATCTTCCCTAAGATAGACAATAAAAGCTACAATAAGTTATATAAGTACTCCTCCATGATGTAGAATACAATGTGTGAATTGTGTCATATATTGGATCACAATAGAATTTATTTGATAACATTCCCCTCCTCTGTCCCTCTTATTTTCCCTTCATGTCCTCTCCCTTCCCCCCTCCTTCTCTCTTGAAAAACAATGGAATTTTTTTCTTTTGATTTCATTGAACTAGAAAGGTCTCATAATTCCTATTTTACACTCACTGAATATGGCTGAGAGAAATGAAGGACACTGACAAGTTTTAATTAATTATTTAGTAATTTAAATAAATCAGGATAACGGTATATATCCACAATTTGCTGTATTCATCCATTGTAAAAAAATATGAAATAATGAGATTTTAATGATTACCACATAACCAGAAAGATTAGAAATTTCTATAAATTGATACTAAAGAAAATTTTGAATTGGTCTCCAGAGCACTTTCCAACATTACATGTGTATTTTTTAATGAATGCCATGGAACTTTAATTTAGAATGACAACCTAAGTAGGAAACTGAGGCTGTGTATTTGTCCCTCCTATTCATCTTTTCTTTTCAGGAAAAGAGTGGAAAGGGATCAGAGGGAATAATGAGCCATAGGGCACAGCCCCAATGTCATGGAGAGAACCTAGATCCAAGCTGGGGCCTAGTGTTGCACCATTGTGATGAGTAAGAGCTTCTCTCCACATGGGGAGGCTCCAAAGGGCTGCAGATGGATTTGAGATTCAAACTAGCTCGTGCGCAATTTTATAACAAGAAATGACCCTGGTAATTTCCTATTTTCTTTTAATATCAGTGTGTATCAAAAGTTTATTTTGGTAATAAAGATAAATGTGCGTTTGGAGAACTTTGAAGACACAAATCTCGATTCATGCTTATTTATTCTTGAGAAAATTGTTCCTTTCTTTGAAATACTTCTAACTTGAGCACACACACCTTAAAATGCTTTGTGTATCTATCAAAAATGTAGTTTCAGTAGACAGAAACATGTGGTTGCATATTCATAGAACATAAATATTGATCTATATAATATTTTATGGTAAATGCAATTATAATTGTAATTGAATTAATCTTTTAGATTATTAGTTTTGTTTTTGTTTGTTTGTTTTTCAAAACAGGGTTTCTCTGTGTAGCCCTGGAACTCCCTTTGTAGACCAGGGTGGCCTAGAACTCAAAGAGATCATCTTGCCTCTCTCTCCCATGCTGGACTCAAAGGCATGCACCACCACTGTCTGGCTAGATTTATTTTTTAAAAGGGTGTATTAAGTTTAATGGTAATTAAGTATTAATGGTAATAGGTTTAACAAGGCATTTTCATATGTTGCCATTATATTTTTGCTATTTCATCCCTCTCTCTCATTATTTTCCCTTAGACTCCCAGGTGCCCCCGTAGTCCCTTTCCTTCCTGCAAACTTACCCATTTTTTATGCAAAATTATATTCAATTACCTTCTTTTAATTGCAGGTCCTATGATAATTTTTTCCCCTCTCATGATCTGCTTTCTTATCTGATTAACTATAAACACTCACACAACTTATACACAAATTAAAATGTGGATTTCACACATGAAAGAAAAATGAGGATTTTCTTTTTGAGTTAGTTCACCTAATGTAATGATTTTCAGTTCCACCCATTTACCTGTAAAATGTTGTAATTTTATTTATTTACAATGGGTGAACACAGCCAATTATGTACACATACATAGTTCTTTACCCATTCATTTGTTTGATAGACATATAGGTTGCCTCAAGAGAACAGTAAGCATACATATACACAAATCTTCATGTAAGCTGACTTAGAATGAATGCTTCAGGTATATATCAAAGAGTGATATAGTTTAGACTTATGCTATTTCTATGTGGAGATTTGTAAAGAAACACCATATTGATTTAAGTATTAGCTGTACAAATTTATATTTCCATCAATAGTAAAAGAAAAATATCTCCCTTTCCTACATTCTCACCAAGCATTAGATGTTATTTGGATTTTTTGATGGTTCTAATGAGGTGAGATGGAATATGAAAACAGTTTAAAGTCACTTTATGTAATAATGGCTAACGATATTGAACATTTTAAATAAGAATGTCCTGGCTATTTGTATCTATCCTTGGAAATTACCTTTTCAGTCTATTGACCCTAGTTTTAATTGGATGACTTTGGGGGGGGTCAGTATCTTATTTTGAAATGCTTTATATATTCTCCATATTAATCCCCTACCTAGTATGCAGTTGACTGATTTTTTTTCCCATTTCAAGGCTGTCTTTTTATTTTTATGATTGTTTACTGCACAGGCTTTTCTAATTTTATGTAATTCCACTTGTCAATTAGGGGTATTATTTTTCTCTACAACTGGGCTTCATATCAGAAAGTCATTGTCTATGGTTATATATTGAAGTGTTTTGCCTTTGTATTCTTCTAGAAGTTTCAAAGTTTCAGGTCTCATGTGAAGATATTTAATCAATTTTGAATAAATTTTGGTTCAAGATGAAATATATGCATCTATTTTCATTGTTGTACATGTGGAAATCCAGCTCCCCCAGAACCATTTGTAAAAGGATCTCTTATTTTTCAACGATTTTTGATACCTTTATAGAAAATAAATTAGTTGGCTATAGCTCTATAGGTTTGGTTCTATGTTTTCTTATATTGATTAAACACAGTAAAGACAAAACTGTGAGTCTCCAATAAGTGATTGGTGTGGAGATAATTAAAGAAATCAAAGCAATTCCTTTTAGTTATTTAATCAAGATTGAGTCC